GTTTTATTTTGGAACTTACTACAGTTTTAATGAAGATGTCCATTAGCAATGGCTAAAATAAATATCATTACCCAATTTTGTACTGATACTAATAATTAAAAACACTCACAACAGCACCTTGGAATGTTTCCTTTTTATCATTTGAAATACAATATTTTATCATTACTGATCCAAGAACTGCAACTTGTTGGCATTGGTCTAATTTTTGTAGTTGCTCCATATAAAGTTGTATTAAATTTGGAATAGTTTTCCATATATTAAATAACTATAATTAAAAATGTAACCAATTTTACTACATTTAATGAATACAGTGCATTTCAGCTAAATATTTGAAATTATTATTTCAAGAAATTTCATTATTAAATTTTTTATTGATACAAATGTTGTTAGTAAAAGATGAATAAATTAAGTCTAGAAAATGGAATTACAATGATAATATAAATTAACATTGGCAAGAAACATTAATTTCTAATTCTTCTCCAATTCTTGTAAATTATTTCCATTTCTCATTAAATTTAAAATTATGTTAAGTAAACCAGGAACTGTTCATTTAGTTTTAGACACCCCTCTCTATTAGCACTGGAATCACTAATTTTGAACTTAAATTTTATGAAAATTTAACAATATGTATTTTATTTTCTTGTTAAATTTCTAGATCTGATATTAACATTTAGCTTAGATACAGTTTTTTCATATGTTTATTATGAATGAAAACCTTTGTTTGAAGTCAAGTGAAATGTTCAATAAAAATAGTAAACTTCTGTGTTAAACTGAGATTTTATATGTTTTTACTTACCAACTTATATCCTTTCAGTATCTTATTATTTAATCCAGAAGAAACTATAACAGTTATCAAGATTGCTTGAGAATTGACAATTCTAGAAAGATTTTCAATAATTAATTTATCATCCTTTTTCCAACCATTTGTTATTAAAATACAAGCCCAATTTAATCCAGATAATGCCACATGGGATACAAATTTTCTATAAAAAAAATAATAAGACGAAAAGGATATTCCACTGAAGTAAAAAAACTTACGTGGAAACCGAATTCCTGTATTGACTTGCTATATCTCCAAGAACAGGCGTTAAATTTTTTATACTCCATTCTGGATGTATTTCAATCAATGAAATTAGTAAATTTTTTACTAGCAATTGGGATTCGCTATCGTGATATCGAGGTAATGTTATTTGAGCAGCCTTGCAAATTCCTTTCACTATACTTTCATTAATTGCTACAAATATTTTGTTTTCAGATACAAAATGATACCGGAATAAGCGGCATTTTACCTGAATGGGAGAGTACATTCTGAATCTTATTAAAAACTTCTCTACGTTGCTTTAAACTGGAATTTTGAATTTTTATCGGTAAATCCTTCAAGGCATTGGAAAACTGCAAATTAAATTATTTTGTCAGATTATTGTAAAAATAAACTTTTAAATGATTTTCACACGTGTCAACTTACTTCCTCGCTATCTGCCATTTTCTACTCTTGACAGTTGCCACATCTATAGTAAATTTTCTATATTTATCTATATACAAAATTATAAAAAAAAATTACTTTATCTATGAAAATAATATACACATTTTTTTTTTAGTATTTTGAAATAAATATACGTACATAGAACATTAATTAATTTACTGTATTAACCAAGTATTAATAAATGTTGATATGTGTAATAATATTTTTTCAGGAAACTTTTCTACCATCTAATAACTTTTTTAATTTAGCAACACCAGTTATACACAAAAATACAAAACCGAAAAGGACTTATTTATTATTAGCAATTTACATGTTTTACAAAATATACTGTATAAAAAATAGCCTAAATGTTAATTTGTTTTCCATAAATATGGGATAGTGTGTAAACGATTACATAGTTGATTGTAAGCAGCAACATCAAAGTTCTCATTCTTTTCAATGGGAAATAAGACAAAATCATCACAGGCTATTACATTTTTCTGAACTAATCCATGAACCTGAAAAGAAAACGAGAATTTGGCAATTTTTACTTACATGTACTTAAACATGTTAGAAATCTTAAACTTACACTTTTCTTTACTTATCTTACCTCGATATATCCTTCCAGCAAGTCTTTATAAGGCTTTTTTAAAATGACTTTTAACAAGACATCGTCTGTAGTCCTCATCTCAAAAGTAAGTCCATTTGGAGCTGCATTAACGATTGATCCAATAATACTAACCTTTCTCTCAGCAAATTCAGTTAATAAAGCTCCATTAATGATATCTCTTTTATTTTTGGTTTCCTTTTCGTTAATTTTGGTCATCTTATACCTTGAATTTTGACTTCCACTTCAAAAACGAGGATTTTATTTTCGCGGTTTAAGCAGCAGATTTATCTGTTATGATCTATTAGGCGAAATGTGGTTAAGTTCATTTCCATAGATAAATTGTTATTCATATTGTTCATTTCATAACATAGATATTTCATGGGTTCATTTTGATACGATTTAGGTTTCAGTTTTGGTCCTTTTGGTTATTAGTGATGGATCGTGATTTTCGAACATAATAGTCTAGAATGTTATCAAATAGAGAAGTAACCGGTTATATTCTAGAACGTACAGTGCTTATTGTAAGTACAAGAAACGAAGTTCAGCAAAAACCATGCAAAGACGAAACACCTAACGGAATGGCCTTCTATGGTTTAGACCACAAATTAGTTGTCTATGGATTAGTTTAGACCTATGAACCAATGGAACTCGTCTAAACCCAACCTCTCTTGTCTATGGTCCCCTATGTTACCCTTTGTGTATCTATTATCTATGGTCTAACCTATGTGTGGTTCACGTTATGCTTCACGTGTCGAGTCGAATCTAGTCCTCTGTGTTTCCAAAACTCAGAAGTGTTTTTTAATTAAAAACATTGGTATTCACTACCACAAAATGGGAAAATTTAGAAGTAAGCTGAAGGGTGCCAGTAAAGGAAAACGCTGGGCTAAAGGGCAAAGTTCCAGTTCAAATCCTGAAAGCAAAAGATTTAGGGATATTGCCAGATCTCGTTTTTTCCAAGAAAACTTGGGTTAATTATTGTAATATTCCTCATAAAAAAATAAATTACCTGCAAATATTTTAGGTCCCAGTAAATTAACAACAGAAGCTTTAAAAAAACATGATAAAATTCAAGCTTTTAGTTCCAGTGAAATTCCTAAATCGGGATGCGGAACTCATTCTGATTATACAGAATCTGTATCACAGGAGTCATTTCAAACCATGGATTCTTTTGCTTCTGAATGGAGCAATTGTAGTAACTTGTCTTTCAATAGATTTTTAAGAATATTTAGGTCTGACTCAGCTCTTCATAAGGAAATGCTAGCAATTTTAGCTGCTGTAACTGAAGTTATTAAGGAAAATGGAGGCAGTGAAACTCCAACTGAATATTATTGTGCACTAGTAAGTAATTGAATTTGTTAATTTTCTATTGTTTTTATTTTATTCTTATTGCCAAGTTGTGTAGGATGTTCTTGGGATAATTATTTTAATTTGTTTTAGTTAACTACTTTGGAGCAGTTTGTAAATTCAGATGATAGCAATGAAGATCAAATAACAGCCGTATTATCGCTTCTAAACATGGGCATTAGAACAGTTCCTGAAAATATTCTGCAGCTAGGATTTAATGAAGTTGTATTTAAACTGTTAAATATTTTACAGGAATATAGTTCTTCTCAAAACAATATTATCATAAAATCATTGATAGGCATTATATCAACTTTTTTGAAGGCCCAAGAATTGGCTGTTTGGACAAATTCATCAACAACTCAAGTATTTTTGAGTTTAGTCAACACATTTGGAATTCATTCTAAACCGAAGGTATAATTTGATAAACCATTCACAGAAGTACATTAGTGTTATATAAAATTCCTTGTTTCAGTGGCGTAAAGCAGCTCGCAATGCAATTTGTGATATTATAAAATCAGACCGTTTCTCTAGTAGTAATATTGCTAATATACCAGCAGATATTGTTGCTGATTTTTGTGAAAAAACAGTGAATACATGTTTAGGAGGGGCAAATGGTGAGGTGTATGTGTCTTCAATTCAAGCTAACCAAACAACAATATTACATGTAGTTGGATTATTAAAAGAAGTTGTTTGTTATTTCTCTAAGTCAAATATGAAGGTAGAATGACAGTTATTTCTTTAATTGATAGTCAAACCACTTAGGTAGTTTAGAATGACATGAACCTTTACATGACTGTTAACCATGTGCCTTGCTATACAACCATAAATAAAAATTCCAGATACACTGTAAAAAATGGTACTCAATGTTCTTGTCACTGTGCAACTCAAGTTCATGCCATAATAAATTAGTTCTACCTTATGAATTGCTAATTTACTTTATACATATATAGGGAGGTTTTTAGTTGTTTATATATATTTTCTGAGAATTGCAATTATACCAATATAACATTTTTAAGAAACGCCAATTTTAATGAACTGTTTTTTTTACATCAGGTAGTAATGGTTTTAATTTTTTTTTTCAGAAAACTTGTGAAATGATGCTAAAGTTGATGACATTAAATTATCCATATGTAACATTGTCTAGTATACAAGTTCTGCATTCGCTTTTCTCCCATCAATCGGCAGTTGTTCCTGCTAAACTAAATGCACAGTTAATTTCAGCTCTCTATGAATATCAACCATCGCCTAGTGATACACAGCCTACAATTGCTTGGTTGGCAGTTATGCAACAGGCACATATCCATTTAGCTGAGTAAGTTTTAAAAATGTCGTTAATGTTAACCAATATAACTAACTTTAAAGTGAGAAAAGAGGATATTGTAAGCAAGTAATGTCGATATACTTGATAACCTTTTATTAAAATTAATCGTTATTTAATATTTATATTATAATTAATTGCATTTAAGTCCTATAAAATTACATATTTTTTAATCTATAAATTTTCTGTCTAATATTTACAACTTGATAACATTAAACAGTTATAGAAGTTATAAATTAACTGCGAAAACTGAAATGCATCATTGAATTGAATCAAACGATCTAGGTACATGGTTTAAATATAATCAATACAATAATTTGGAGGCTAGTTTGAAACGGCTTTATTAATCACCTACTATATCGCCATTTTTCCCATAAATATATTTGTACAGTTTATGATATTTCTCCATTTATGTGCTTCTTTCACGTGTAGTATTTTTTTGAAGTGAAATTTGTTATACCGCGTTAACACTAAAATTTAGATGCCGTGTCAGTAAATTTTACTTGCACTTAGAGTGCCACAGTAACAAAATTAATTATTTTTATTTACTTTTATAAAATAATTATTTTAGACTTATAATACTCCCAGGTTTTCTTGAAATCAGTTTTCATGAGTTTTTATTTTTAATCACTATCATGACTCTAGACCGAAGAGTGATTGGGCACGCACTTTTGCTTATTAATTTGGAGTCATTTCTCACATTTCTCATTAATCTAATGGAGGACTTCCTCTATTCCCCTTAACTTCTGTTTCTGCTTGTAATATGTCTCTTCATGTCCAAAAGGTGTCTTACCAACCCATCTCGCCTATTTCTAATTGATTTCCAAAACATCCTTTGTCCTATTCTTTCTAATACCTTCTCATTTCTAGCCTTCTTTATCCACGGTATTTATAACATCCTCCTATAATACCACATTTCAAACGTTTATACATCTTTAATAAATCGTTTTCGAATTTATACATTAACCGAACTGGAGTAGGTTCAAATGTGATTTCTTTTTGTTAAAAGCGACCTGACCCTGCGCTATTCTTTGTTTTATATCTAGCACTTTTTTCATCGTGAGTTATCTAACTTTTTTTAAAAATTAGATTAAATATTTATCTTTATATATCACAATATAATGCTATTTTAGTGTGGATATCCCGCTAGCAGTAGCAGCGCTACCAAAAATTTTCGTGACAATTTCGCAACTTTGGCTTTCTGATAAAATTGAGGTCTCGTCTTCCGCCACAAGAGCATTAGAAGCATTGTTAAAAGACGCTCTTTTACCGTCATGTGAAACTGAAGTTTCTGTTGAGAGTCACGCTAGTAAATTATCGAAATGTTTCAATACAATCGAATCCTGCTTAAGTTATCAATACAACACCGCCTGGCATCAAGTACTTTACATCATAAAAATTATGTTTGAGGTAGGTATATATGTACATAAAAGACGTTATGTTCTTATATTGTAAAAATTGTCTCCTTTTTTTAATTTTAATAATATATTAATGTCTTAGGTGGCAGGAAGAACTTGCAGTCATATGCTAACCGGCTGTTTGAAAAATTTGGCTCAATTGCGCGATTCGTATAAATTTAGTTATAATAATGAACTAGAACATGCAATTGGAGCAGCTATACAATCAATGGGACCGGAATTGGTTCTTAAACAAATCAGTTTAAAGGTAATTATGCATACATTGATTATGGAATAGTAGTGAGTACCTTGTTTTCATATAATGTTATTTTCTATTTATTTTCTTGTACTGTACTTGTTGTTTTAACTTTATTTATAATCTTTTATAAATTATTAAGTATGTTATATATACAGTAGAAATTGAATAATTTATCTTAATCCTCCGCAATCTGAAGAAAATAGCTCCTTCTTTGGGGTAAATCCCCAAATACTTTGAACCTCAAACTATTTTCAGTATATAACTCGAATTAAATGTGATTTCCCCCATGGGATACTGAATGACATAATTTATAACTTAAAATTTNTATAAATGAAAACATGCATTATAACCAATTTTCACAAAAAAGCAAAAGTACATTAACCACCACGGTTGGAAGTAAAGAATGTTCAGATTGCAAGTTTGCCGCTGTCGACTTAGCTTCGGGGCTGTGACCGGTTTGGGATATTCTTTACCGTTCTAGGTGTGTAATTTATCTATGTTTTTTTAATTGTGAAAACTGGTTATGATGCAAGATTTAATTTATTTGTGTTTATGAGAGAAATACAGATAACATATTATATTAGCAATAATGTGATGAATTACATAGATTTCTGTTAAATTTCTCAAGTCAATAAAATAATTTTATAATTAAATTAGTTCAAAAATTGTATTCATTGGAATTTAAAAATATTGGGAAAAGAAAGGAAACTAATCGTATGTAAAACATTTATCTGTTTGTAGAACTGTTGTTTAAAAGTACATTTTTTTAAAGTGTTAATTCGTTTTCTTGTATACTAAGATGATGTAAACATATAAAGGAATATATTTACCTACTAAACTCTTTATGGACGATTTGTAAAATTTTATTTATTGTATACGTGTGTTAGGTTTTTCTTTTTTCTTTAGAAAGAATCTGGCGATCTAAGTATGGATAGATCATGGCTTTTGCCAGTTTTAAAAGAGAATATAAAGACAGCCAGATTGGGATTCTGGATCGAATATATTCTCCCTCTGGCTGTTTCTTGTCAACGCAAATCAATTCAGTTATTCGAAAAGAGTGATGGTATCGGAGCGCATAGTTATGAACTTCTAAGTTTACAGCTTTGGAACTTGCTGCCTAGTTTCTGCATTAATCCTACAGATATAAAGGATAGTTTTAAGGTAAGCAATTTCATGCTAGTTCATAAGATACTATTCTTATTTTGATTTTGAAAATGCAAAATTAAGTATAATTTTTTGAGAAGTCAAGGCTGTGATTTTTTTGTTTATTTTTTATAGGGAATTGCAAAAACATTGGGCACAGCAATAGCTGAACGTAAAGATATACGATTAGCAGTTATGGCTGCTTTACGGAAATTAATTACAAATGTTAAAGAAAAGAATAGTCCAGAAGATTTAAATGAAATAGCAAAATTTGATAAGAATTACCTACCTATTTTGTTCAATTTGTATAGTATTAAACCATCTGGAAGTGACGAGGAAGGTCAGAGATTAGCAGCTCTTGATACCATTAAGGTAAGCATGAACTTTGTTTAAAATTTGGAATTATTTTAAGAAAGATCTTTTGATATAAATAATAATCAGAGAATCCGCTTGCACTTTATATGAATACTTTAGAACGTTTTTTTTACAAGTATTTTGGTTAATTTATGATTCATTAATTTACATTTTTACCTAGGTATAAATTATTTATTTTTTCAATACTTAAAAGAGGCATGATGCCCGAAATAGCCAAATTAAACTAATTAACTTCTTAATAATCAAAAACATCTCATACATGAAAAATAATAGAAATTATATAGATCAACATTTTTTGTTTGAAAAGAGATTCTTGAATTGCGATAAAGTGCAATTGAATAGAAAATCTTTTTTAGGTATTCCTTACAATAACGAAACCAGAATTGAGGAAACAATTATTTATTCAAGCATTAGAACATTTGGACAGTTTGAAAGACGCAACTGATTCCAACGATTTGTTCAAGAAAGAAAGCATTCTAGATTTAATAAAAGCTTTAATTCCATATCAGAGCGTGGAAGAATTGTCAAATGTATTCAACTGTTGCATCAAAGCGCTACCTGATTTAAAAGATAAAGAACAGAAGAAAGCATATAAATTGTTAGAAGAAATTTGTTCTAGTGAGACAGAAGGATGCAAAACTTTTATCCAAAACAACAGAAAAGTCGTGCAAAAAATGCTTGTAAAATCGTTAAATTCTGCATCAGTATCGAGTAAAGGAGCTCGCCTACGATGTTTAAACTATTTAATTAAGGCGCAGCCAGCATTGGATCAGGATAGTAAAATTATAAAAACTGCCATTCCTGAAGCTATTCTTTGTTGCAAGGATATTAATGAAAGATGTAGAAGTGCAGCATATGCTTTACTTAATACAATTGGAGAAACTTTACAAGTTCACAAGCAAATGAAGCAGTTTCTTGGAATGGTATTTGTAGGATTGGAAGGAACTCCTCAGATGATCAATGCTACGATTTTGGCATTTTGTTCTATTCTACACAACTTTTCAGGTACTTGTACCACCAAATGCATTTTCGTTAGATTTTTTTAAATTGTGACAGATTAAGTAATTCTGAATGGAATAGTACAAATGATATATAAACATTGAACAAATTGAAATTATTTTTTATAGGAAGTCTTGGATTTGAAAATATAAATTTAATTTTTGAACACATAATTGGTTTACTAAGTAGTCCATCCAGAGAAGTGGTTGCCTCATGTCTCAGTTTTGTTAAAGTGTATTGCAGAACTTTACCAAGCCCTATGGTAGGCTCATCACTTCCGAAGATCGTAAGTTAATTTTTATATATTTAAAAATCTTAATATTGAACAATGCTATCATAAACAAACAAAATTAACAAAAATTCCTCTCGTCAATTAAAATCGTTATAGTAGTGTGTACTAATAATGTTTTTTTTTAGATCGAATCTCTTTGTAAAATGACCGAAGATTGTAAAAGGCATTACCGGATAAAAGTGCGCGATATTCTCTGCAAATTGGTCCGAAAATATGGAATAGATTCTATTAAACCCCATATACTACAAGATGATGTAGTTATGTACAAACGATTGAAAAATATTAGAAAAATAATAGATAGAAAGAATAAGAAGAAAGAAACCGAAGAAGACGTAGAAATGAATGAGGACGACTTTTCTGTCAAACCAAAGACTAATAAGTGAGTTAAATTTTTTAACTTAGGTATTACTTAATGTAAGAAAAAAAAAATGCCTTTTAAAGTTTTTATTTGTGTTTGTGTATGTAATGGTTTGTCTTTATTGTAGTATTGATGAAATATTAGCTGATTCTGAATCAGAATCCGAAGATGAAGTAAAAGGAAAAAAGAAAACATCAACTTGGATTCAAGAAGATGCCGAATCAATTGTTGATTTCATTGACCCGTCTGTTAGAAATAAAATAAGAGGTAAACAATTCATCACTTCATAATAATTTAAACCAAATTCGTTCCATCAGAAATTATTTTTCTTTTTACAAACAAGCTGTACCTGTGGCTTCGTCCGCTCAGAAATCAGTTTTTTATATTGCATTGAATTTCCTTTAAAAAAAAAAATAGTATTATTTGTTTGGAGTTAAAATTTTCAGGTGCAATTGTTAAATTGAAATTTGTGTGTAGTGATCTTTAATAAATAGGTGAATATTTATTAACGTTTAAAAAATTACTGTAACCGCTGAGCAAGTGAATAGCCTGTGTACTCTCGGCTTCGAATTCAGTTTTTGAGTATAAGTCGTATTCTATCAATTTGTGAATTAAGCTTAAAATGTGGATATATGTCGTTACGGACCTTTTTAAAACATNCAGCACCGTATGCAGCAGTAGAACAGTAGCTGGTGGGAATGAAATACCCAAAATTTTAAAGTTTGCGATCTAAACAAACATTTCATAAAAGTGAAAACTGATAGGCAACCAATCGCATAGGTAAGGTATTTTGGTGCAAAACTGAACTCCTAAGAGAGTTACATATTTGCATTTTAGTGTACAAAAGCGATAAAAAGAATTGCCAGAATGTGTGCAGGGTATTTAATGCTAATTGTAAGTAAAATTTCAGCTTAATCTATATTTATTGAAAATAATAAACAAAGAACGTATGTCACAAATTGATTGGTATGTACATTTTCTAAGAGTTTTGATTGCTTAAAGCTGATAATTCAAACAACATTTTTTATCTCATTTATAAATTAAAAAAAAAGAAAAACTTAAAACAATATTCTGCTTATCGTTCATGGCGTTTTTATCAGTGACGTCAATTTTACAGTTTTCTTAATAATAACTGTTATCGGCTTTTTTCTCGGCTGATAGTGTAATCGTGTTAGCAATAAATGCTAATATTACTGCAACGGTGCATTTTAATAATTTCTTATAGCCTACCACAACAACCTTCATTTCAATTTAAATTAAGTTTTCGTTACAACTAACATTTGTAAATTATCTAATGATTAGCCTGATTATATTTAAGAAACAAAATGAGCCCTCTGTTATTAATCACCGAATAAAATCTTTAAAAATATCCATATCTATCTAGCATCGCTTTGTGAGGGGAAAGATTGGATATGACCTTGTAGAACTAAACAAGTGTTTGTAGATGGGGCGAGAAGTGGTGGCGCAGGGCGTGGAAGCAAAAATTGGAAATAATAATTGTATACAGAAGGCGGCCATCGGCCGGAAAGTAAGGAAATGATTGGACGGGTAGGGATAACCTTGCAGCCCTAAACTTATTTAATCTAACATTATATAAACCTTTTGGCGTGATTTCTGTCATCTTATTAGGGTTCCAGACAAAAATAAATTAAAAATAACTTACTTGAAACATAGTAGCGGCAGGTAAAAGTTGGCACACCGTATTTTCATTAACTCTAATTCGACCAGTATACATAAAATTAATAAGTAATGCCATGGCAGTTGCTGAAACACCCTGTAACTTGATCCTTTTCATTTCGCACTCCTTTAATCCTCCGGTGAACATGGCCTTGAAATATGGGCTTCCAGCGGCCAGGACAACCTTGTGGGCGTGATAAAGCTCCTGACCAACTTCCAAGGTAACGTCTGTAAGCATTTGATGACCGCGCATCATTGCCATAGCCTAGGAAAAGAAAGTAGTGTTTAATAATTTCAAGATCACGTTTTAAAAAAAATAATTCTAATGAATTACTTTCATTGCTTCCTTAATATAGTCGATCATCATAAAATTCATGTCACCGAGGTCGGACCCCATGTCGATGCCGCATTTCTGCTCGTAGCACTTGTTTCTGTCTCGGGTGTAGTCCTCTCCGTCCATTCTGCAACTGAAATAGTCAATCATTTAAATTATAGTGTACTTCTCTGCTTACACGTAGATAAATTTCAGTAAATATTATAAAAAAAGCTAGCGATAAACCACGGTGTTACCCGGGCCATCTCGATGGCAGAAGAAAAAAGTATAGTATCTGCCGGAAATAGATGTCAGTTTGTTTCGGCGCGCCAGCATAACAGACACCACTAAGTCATTAACACTGCTGTGTAATAGTATTATTTGTTTGGAGTTAAAATTTTCAGGTGCAATTGTTAAATTGAAATTTGTGTGTAGTTATCTTTAATAAATAGGTGAATATTTATTAACGTTTAAAAAATTACTGTAACCGCTGAGCAAGTGAATAGCCTGTGTACTCTCGGCTTCGAATTCAGTTTTTGAGTATAAGTCGTATTCTATCAATTTGTGAATTAAGCTTAAAATGTGGATATATGTCGTTACGGACCTTTTTAAAACATTTCTGTAGTCATATTTATTACCGTAAGGCAGTGCATTTGCTCGACTTACGCTGCAAAATTGGTCTATAAAAAGCATTTTTATTTTAATGGAATAATATGCTGTCTAAGCTCACTCTAAGATCTATTCTAAATATTGGGAGCGGAGCATAATATGAGTAATTTCGGAAATTACCTTTTATATCCAAACTTAAAAAACATTACCTTTTTATATTAGTGTAGATGAAAAAAGATTTTTTTGTTTAGAAGAGATAGTAATCTCATTTTATTTCAGCCACAAATCCGTCTCTGTCGACCGATAAAAGTATGACAAATAAAACAGATAAAAATAGAGGATTCAAGACCGCCGATGATGGGCGTCTTATTATAGATGCTAATGATGATTCTTCAGATAGTGAAAGAGAAAATAAAAAGAGGAAGAAATTCATTTCTTTATCCGATACAGGTAATGATTTATTATTTTGCTGAGAAATATGTACATGCTGTTGCATTCTGTAGCTTTTGATTCAATTTTCAGATGAAGATAGTGAAGAAGATATGAGTTCAGCGGAAACCGCTATTTTGACAAACAGGAAACGTAAGAGAAACACTACCGACAGTTTAAAAAGTGGATTTANAATGAAAAAAAAAAAGAGCGCATTAAGAAAACCAGAATCATATTGTACAAATGCAATTACAATAAGTTGCTAACATTTTATCCTAATTTAATTTCAATGAGTATTACTTTTCCGCTAACGTTTTTTTCTTAAGTTGAAAAGCAATGTTATCACGTACACTAACATATTTTATAACTTCAATACTGATGTTAGGTGGAAATTTTTTAAGTTCTTGCCTCTACCATGATTAATAAATATTTCTAATTTGGAACCACGGTCTCTTTAAAAGAATGTGCAGGAGATATTACAGTAATTACTATTATTCCTTAGTTACTTTTTAAAATCTGTGCTTTTACTTATATATATATATACATTATTATACAGTCACACCTATACAATATTCAATAAATTACTAAATTTATATACAATTTTATCTAATATCCTACGACATGTATGATGAGTATTTTGGATAAGTTGTAAAATGAAATGACAAAATATTCCACCAAAACTAAAAATTAACTTTGTTTCTCATTGTTAATAAATTAAGTTTTAAACAATGCCCACTTCTGTAATGGTGAGTACAGTCAAATTTCCCTAACTCGAACTTCCAAAATGTAACCAATTATGTCCGACTTAAGGGAAATTTCTGCTTTACCGACAAACTTCGAAGGCATGGCTTCTACGCATACTACTGTTATTAAGCCCACTACTAACCTTTATGATGGCACGGTAAAGAATGAGAAACTGAAATCAGTTAATTATCATTAAGTAAAACATGCAAAACAAGGAATAAAAAATGTTCATGTTTCAATAGATTTCGAGTTATAGAAATTTGACTATTTCAGCAACACCAACTTAAAGCAATTTTAAAATCTCTATGAAAGGCCAATTCGTCATTCTAATAGAAGCCTTTCTTATCAAACGTTATGGTGGAATTATTTAAATGAAAAACTATCATTCAGAAAATTACAGAACATTTTAATCAGTCGTTGGAAAAGTTACATACTTCCTTCTTTGTTTTTATTTGGCACTCTTGCCCTAATTACCACGTATCATTTACACTCACCTCTATGTGCTACAATATGTACATAAACATTAATGTGTATAACGATTTTACTAAATACCATATCACAGTTTTACCGACGGAGTTTACCTTTTCAATAGCGGTTTGACATTATTTATTTCTCAACTAGACGTAGATGGGAACGCGTCAGTATGTAGAGGTAAAGATATAGGATTCTGATAACAAACTGCACTCGCATGTCCCGATCGGCCAGAAGTTAACGGTTCGCCATCCTCCCATTTGTCTGTTTCGGGATCGTAGACTTCGACGTTTGCAAGAAAATTATGACCATCATAGCCACCTAAAAAATGTACATTTGTAATGACGACATTACGTCTTAAAAAAATCAATTATTAATAGTTTCAATTGAAAATGACACAAACAATTATTTTTTATTAATTCTCTCCGTTACGTGCAATCAGAATAGTTAATTTTCAAGCACCATGTATCAGTTATCATTCGAACCGAAGAAACACGAATACTTGAACTCCCGGCATACGTGATGAAGAATAGTGTGCACACCACACGGTAAATGTGAGCTATACCATATGCTTACTACCCTCGTCTTCGGTTCGAGTGGAAAACGACATATAGCCCACATTTGCGCTGTAATGTGTAATATACTATTACTTGTCATGTGACCAGTATCATTTTATAAATGAAAACATGCATTATAACCAATTTTCACAAAAAAGCAAAAGTACATTAACCACCACGGTTGGAAGTAAAGAATGTTCAGATTGCAAGTTTGCCGCTGTCGACTTAGCTTCGGGGCTGTGACCGGTTTGGGATATTCTTTACCGTTCTAGGTGTGTAATTTATCTATGTTTTTTTAATTGTGAAAACTGGTTATGATGCAAGATTTAATTTATTTGTGTTTATGAGAGAAATACAGATAACATATTATATTAGCAATAATGTGATGAATTACATAGATTTCTGTTAAATTTCTCAAGAATTTTATATAATTATCAGGAACTTCATCAGTTTGGTTAATAATTTGTCGAGACTGTATGACACGCTGATGAGATCTAACAAGATTGAAATCTTGGTCCGTGTTGTTTCGACAAATTTCAATCTCACATACATTACCGGCATCATCGATTTAGTTGAGCAAGTTGATACCTTAGTGAGGGATTCTCTAACACAAGAAATACTTTAGTAGCAGTTGATAAATCACTTTTACCAAGTATTTAGGTTTTAAATTATCAACTGCATCCATATTTAAGAACAATGATGTTACTCACCCATTGCATATAGTTTTCCATCTAGCACAGTGACACTCAGAGCACTTCGAGATGTTTTCATACTTGTGACAAATATCCATGTATCTTTTTCTGTATCGTAACGTTCTACCGTATTAAGTTGTTTTGTGCCGTCGTATCCTCCAACAACATAGATAAATTGATTTATTGCGGCTACACCTTAAAAAGGAAATATAAAAGCCTTAAAATTTTAATTACAAAATGCCCACAAACAATACAAATCAAGCCCGGGGGAAAAACTGGATAAAAAGTACCTGCACCACTTCTATACGTATGCATCGAGGTGACCACAGTCCACTCGTTATTCTCAGGATGGTAACATTCGACAGTGTTTAATCTTTTTGAGCCATCGTAACCTCCGATTGCGTATAATAATCTGTTAACAACTGCTACACCTACTGCTAATCTTTTCGTATGCATCGGTTTCACCCACGACCATCTGTCTTGTTCGGGATCGTAGCTAAAAATTGGAATATAAAACTTAAATGTTTTGTATAACAAACTCATCACTAAATAATAGATTATTAAAAATTTAATCATTGAAAAAATTTAAGTATAAAAAACTTTTGAAAACTTCTATTAGCACCGACCAAAATGTGCTCAGACCAATTTTTTAGGTTTTAAATTATCAACTGCATCCATATTTAAGAACAATGATGTTACTCACCCATTGCATATAGTTTTCCATCTAGCACAGTGACACTCAGAGCACTTCGAGATGTTTTCATACTTGTGACAAATATCCATGTATCTTTTTCTGTATCGTAACGTTCTACCGTATTAAGTTGTTTTGTGCCGTCGTATCCTCCAACAACATAGATAAATTGATTTATTGCGGCTACACCTTAAAAAGGAAATATAAAAGCCTTAAAATTTTAATTACAAAATGCCCACAAACAATACAAATCAAGCCCGGGGGAAAAACTGGATAAAAAGTACCTGCACCACTTCTATACGTATGCATCGAGGTGACCACAGTCCACTCGTTATTCTCAGGATGGTAACATTCGACAGTGTTTAATCTTTTTGAGCCATCGTAACCTCCGATTGCGTATAATAATCTGTTAACAACTGCTACACCTACTGCTAATCTTTTCGTATGCATCGGTTTCACCCACGACCATCTGTCTTGTTCGGGATCGTAGCTAAAAATTGGAATATAAAACTTAAATGTTTTGTATAACAAACTCATCACTAAATAATAGATTATTAAAAATTTAATCATTGAAAAAATAGTGTTTTGTAGTACTATGAAAACAATTACATCAAAAATGAAATGTAGCATGGTCGTATACGCTTCTGGATTTGCAGGTATTATAAACCATTTTGATGGCGTCTACATTCTACATACATATATTTTCAAACTTATTGATTTTTTTCTTTCAGTTTTCCATTAAGTCATTAAAATTATTATTTCTTTTATGTAATGTAATGTCTTATACCCAAGGTGTAAAAGTAAGATCTTTTGATGTAACTACGAGAACTTATAGATTTTGAAAGTGAAAAAACTGATTCCACAGGAACTCAATCGTGTATAGAAATAAATAAATGCACTTTAAAAATTAAGCATTAATAATTTGCAGATGAAAAAGTCACTAAGCGGGTACTTCCTTGGTGATCATTAACTAAACTAATAATTAAGATACACAAAAACTTCATGACATAATATCAGGTACAAACTTTTCTGTTCATAAATTCAATTGTAGCATATGTAGGTAGATCTTTTTACCTCATCAAAAAGGACAAGAGCAGAGCCCATACAATAAAGGATTAATTAAATTTTACAATCGTAGATTTTAATACAATTTTTAAATAAAGAGAACTTACCATTCAACACTATTGTGATATTTCGTTCCTTCACTCCCACCAACAGCATATAAAAGACCATCCATAACAGCGACTCCTACTCGACTTCGTGGTTTCATCATTGGACTGCACGGTCGCCAAATATCTTTTACTGGATTATATCTGTCCACCCAGTCTGAATCGTAGCTGTTTACTTGAGAATTATTTCGTCCACCAACTGCATAAAATGAACCCTAGATAATGTTAGATTTTGTAAGCTGAACTAATACACGGTTGAAATTCTTCTATTATTTACTGCATTTATTTGAACATTGTTAAAAGAATAGGACATTTAGTTATTCTCATTGCAAACATATTATGTGATTTTTAACATGTACCAGTTATGGTTGACATAGATTTAAAGTATTTTCTCAAAAATGTGTACTCAAGTGTATAAAAAAAGAATTAAAAATTAAGCGATGTAGGCAAATAAATACGTTCTATATTTGGGCTATATTACTTTTGAATAACAGTACTAAAAATTGGATTAATACTGCAGTAAAGAAAATAAAATATTCTAATAAACAAATATATCAGAAGCTTAATACCTTTAAAAATGCACCCCCAAGACCAGACCTAGGAACTGTTAAGCAAGCTAACGTGTGCCAAGTTTTATCGTCCACATTATAACCTTCTAATACATTTAAAGATTGTCTATAATATCCACCAGCTACATAAATAATTCTGGGGGTGTTTGGCGTTCTTTCTTTTACCGCAGTACGTTTATGAAGTGTAAGATCCTAAAATACAAAATAAAAATTAATGAATAATTATACACATTTTTGTAAAGGGTTTAAACCCATTAATAAAATAAAAAAAATTATAAACAGATTTAATTAGTACATAAAAAAATGGATAATCAAGCATGTAAGAGAATGTTGGTATTCATTAATTCATGTTTCAGTTCAGAATTTCAAAGAAGTATTTCATATAAAAATATGTAATTGGAATTTTAATCAGAATTAAATCAATTTGAAACTAATAAATGTTTTATTAAAATAGAACTATATTATGTTGGTACAGGACTGGGGTTTACTCATTCCGCTTTATTTTTGGGTGCAATCTAATATAATATACTATGTTAATATAGTTAGTAAGTTAGTATGTAAGTTTCTATTCAACCAGTCCCATGAACAGGTAACTGTGATTACCTCTGCGGGATTTACATCTATGTAATTTTTTTACTGGTTTAAAATAAATAAATTACCTTAAAAATCCTAGCTAAATATTCTCTACATGCTGGAGTTTTCTTAAGTAAATCGCAGTGTTTCATTTGTTCATTTAAAAATTTTGGCGTTAGAAACTGACACCGTACAGCACAAAGTATTGGTTCCATCTTCTTATACCGAGTTTCCTCGTCATATTTGACCCATTTAAGGACGGCATTATAGACATCCTTTTCGTCTTGAACGTTCAATTCGTCTTTCTTTATTAGGTTTATTAACTGAAAGGGGCTTAGCTGAAAAAATTCTTCTTCTTGACAAATCTAAAGAAAATTTAAGTATAAAAAACTTTTGAAAACTTCTACAGTAAATTTAAAACGTACTTGAGTGAAATTGCGTTCAATATATTGATTCGCTTTACTACAAAGATCGGAACATCCATGTTGTTCTGCAAAACTTGCTATGCCTATGGCGTTACTAGGGTCTAACTGTCTTTCAAGAAAATCACAACATGCATGGATGACATTTTTCACCTATAATAATAATAATAATCATTAAATGATTAAACTTAAAAAATACCTACAACAGAATATAAAATTTAAGAAATATCACTCTTTTTACTTCCGGTACATTTTTTGTTAAGCGATAGGAGTAAAAAAAATCAATTTTAGGATTTCTAGAAAAATATCAGATTTAATTTGTTCTGATGGTAAGCGATACTTTAAATCTCAAATTATTTATGTTGTAGAGTAGTAGAGTGCACTTGCAATCTGAAAGTTATTGTACCTTTAAATATATACCGAGTTATTCTTGCAATTTATAAATCAAGCGGCAAAAAGTCTGTAATGAAATTCGCATTACTTATTAAATTTAATAGTCAGCACCGTATGCAGCAGTAGAACAGTAGCTGGTGGGAATGAAATACCCAAAATTTTAAAGTTTGCGATCTAAACAAACATTTCATAAAAGTGAAAACTGATAGGCAACCAAACGCATAGGTAAGGTATTTTGGTGCAAAACTGAACTCCTAAGAGAGTTACATATTTGCATTTTAGTGTACAAAAGCGATAAAAAGAATTGCCAGAATGTGTGCAGGGTATTTAATGCTAATTGTAAGTAAAATTTCAGCTTAATCTATATTTATTGAAAATAATAAACAAAGAACGTATGTCACAAATTGATTGGTATGTACATTTTCTAAGAGTTTTGATTGCTTAAAGCTGATAATTCAAACAACATTTTTTATCTCATTTATAAATTAAAAAAAAAGAAAAACTTAAAACAATATTCTGCTTATCGTTCATGGCGTTTTTATCAGTGACGTCAATTTTACAGTTTTCTTAATAATAACTGTTATCGGCTTTTTTCTCGGCTGATAGTGTAATCGTGTTAGCAATAAATGCTAATATTACTGCAACGGTGCATTTTAATAATTTCTTATAGCCTACCACAACAACCTTCATTTCAATTTAAATTAAGTTTTCGTTACAACTAACATTTGTAAATTATCTAATGATTAGCCTGATTATATTTAAGAAACAAAATGAGCCCTCTGTTATTAATCACCGAATAAAATCTTTAAAAATATCCATATCTATCTAGCATCGCTTTGTGAGGGGAAAGATTGGATATGACCTTGTAGAACTAAACAAGTGTTTGTAGATGGGGCGAGAAGTGGTGGCGCAGGGCGTGGAAGCAAAAATTGGAAATAATAATTGTATACAGAAGGCGGCCATCGGCCGGAAAGTAAGGAAATGATTGGACGGGTAGGGATAACCTTGCAGCCCTAAACTTATTTAATCTAACATTATATAAACCTTTTGGCGTGATTTCTGTCATCTTATTAGGGTTCCAGACAAAAATAAATTAAAAATAACTTACTTGAAACATAGTAGCGGCAGGTAAAAGTTGGCACACCGTATTTTCATTAACTCTAATTCGACCAGTATACATAAAATTAATAAGTAATGCCATGGCAGTTGCTGAAACACCCTGTAACTTGATCCTTTTCATTTCGCACTCCTTTAATCCTCCGGTGAACATGGCCTTGAAATATGGGCTTCCAGCGGCCAGGACAACCTTGTGGGCGTGATAAAGCTCCTGACCAACTTCCAAGGTAACGTCTGTAAGCATTTGATGACCGCGCATCATTGCCATAGCCTAGGAAAAGAAAGTAGTGTTTAATAATTTCAAGATCACGTTTTAAAAAAAATAATTCTAATGAATTACTTTCATTGCTTCCTTAATATAGTCGATCATCATAAAATTCATGTCACCGAGGTCGGACCCCATGTCGATGCCGCATTTCTGCTCGTAGCACTTGTTTCTGTCTCGGGTGTAGTCCTCTCCGTCCATTCTGCAACTGAAATAGTCAATCATTTAAATTATAGTGTACTTCTCTGCTTACACGTAGATAAATTTCAGTAAATATTATAAAAAAAGCTAGCGATAAACCACGGTGTTACCCGGGCCATCTCGATGGCAGAAGAAAAAAGTATAGTATCTGCCGGAAATAGATGTCAGTTTGTTTCGGCGCGCCAGCATAACAGACACCACTAAGTCATTAACACTGCTGTGTGGTGATGTTTATCATATATATGTATATTAGGGTGCTTCAAACAAAATTTTTATTTTTTTTTAACTTTTACCCCCTCAAATGTTTCTATTTGATGTAAAAAAATTCCTCGCCAAACATGAGCCCTATAACTCAAATCTAAAGGGTCGCTATTTTTATTTTAGTTTCCCATTTAATTAACATAGGAAAAATTATTTTTTGTTTTAAATTGAATTTACACATGATTTACGCAGTTTTTTCCAAAAAACCGTTTCATATTCTCAAAGTTGAGTCTTTGAGCTTTACAAAACTCTAAGACAAAGTATGATTATCTTTACAAAAAGACTAGTTACAGCCATTTAAAAATTACTAAATTTTGAAATTTGAAAAAATAGCTTGCAATTATTTTTTTTT